TATTTCGTGTTTAAATCTATATATCACAGATATAACTCAAACGATCCAAATCTACATTCATTTGTTCCGGAAAAATTGTGCTTTCCAAAAGTACCAAACAATTTGCTATGGTTCTATATAGGCCTTAGTACTCGAATTCCAAAATAATATACCAATAGCTTATTTTGTGTGACTAAATAAACTACTTTTTCAAATTTTATAAAAATTGGTTCAATGAGTTTGAAGAAAATTAAATTTCCCGTTTTTCCCCAGAGCTAGTCCGTAATTTAATAGGAATACTTCAATAAATCGAAAAAGTTTTCCTAATGTGCTAAAAAAAAAGTACCAAAAATACAGTTGTTTCCCTTTAAAAAAGGTACGTAACAGGTGTAATTATGGGAGATATATTCAAAATATTTACAAAAATTTTATTTTGTTTATCAGTTAAAAAGTTATAAAGGGCCAAAATCACCTTTGTTACACATTTTCACCCCTTAAAAGTACGAATTTCAAAACAGTACCAGACACCCATCTGCTTATTTTAAGAGTAGATACGGGTGCATTTAAAATTTTTCTTGTATCACTAATATTAGGTAAGATAATTAAGAAAATCTGTTTTACCCGTTTTTTCCCTTTTTTACCCCTAAATGTACAAATTTCCAAATCTACATAACCAAAAACACATCTACTGTCAAAATTTCATGATTCTAGATTCAGCCGTTTGGGCTGTGCGATGATGAATCAGTCAGTCAGTAACGCTACTCTTTTATATATATAGATTACTTTAAATACCCAGTATTCTGCAATGGGTTAAACCCAGGCCGGTAATATAAAATATAACTTATACATTTCATTTTAATTAAACTAGATTGTCGCTGATTTTACCAATTTATATTGAACTTAACATGTTTTTATGACCCCCTTTTAACGACAGTGTATAATGTATAATTATGTGTAAATTGACCAACCTATAGATGTAAACCATTAATCAAATATCTCCGATTTTATTGAATTACTTATGCATATATTTATGAGTGTGATTAACTATTCAAATAATCAAATCATTAGAACATTTATAATGGCAATAAATATTAATATTGTTGTAAAAGTGTTTAGGTATGCAAATTTTTTTGATTTCAAAAATTTAATTTAAATTGGTACAACATTCGTACTCTGCAAAGATTTCTCAGGAATTTCTATTCTATGATTAGATTTATGTAACCGGAGTTACATAAATTTTAATGATTGATTAATTATGTTTTTTTCCGGTGAAAGCTTTTGTTATTAAACAATCATAAAAATTATTTAAATTTAGGCCTATTGACGAATCGCTTTGAGATCAACGTACCAAAATACCTAGAAATTTTGTTTTCATTATGTTTTTTTTTATTTCTGGGAAATGTTAATATTATTGCGTTTTAACTTTGGTATTCTCTTAACGAGAAAAATTCACACATTGAGAAAAAGTGGGTGATTTAAAATAAATCCTACTTCCAAAAGATATAGAAAGTTTTTAGATGTTTCATGAGTTATTTTTCAAAACTTATTTTAAAATTCAGATTTTTATAAATATAGATATTAGATTTGATCGGAGTAATATTACTACTATCTATATTTTTCTAAACTAATATTAATATTTAATTAATTTTATAAAAAAATATTCGCAGAATTATTATTCATACAGGTTTACTAAGAAAATTTCACTTTCTTATCAAAGTGTTTACATATTTACAAGCAGATAGGTATGCATGCATAATTTGTTATTGACCCTTAAAATATTTTTAGCCATATGAAACGCAAAAAAAATCGAATTAGAAAGTTTTAATTTTTACAAAATCAAAATGAAAGAAGAGTAGTTTTGGTTGACCCTACGCATTGACTCACTTTCTAACTAATCAGCAGCATCAGCAATATCTACCTACCGCAAAGTTATGAGGTCACATGCGATGAAAACAGCAAGTGTATCTGTTGAATCTATTAAATTGAAATTTTATAAATAACTGGACTTTCACCTGTAATATGCAGGCATAGGAAAAGTTTACGGGATATATTTTGGAAGGATATGGTTAAAAAATTGTAAAAATATTTAATCGTATTCTTTAATTCAAAGAATGTCTTTGTCGATCACTTTTGTTGTAGTAGTATCAGAATAAAAGCGACGAGCGACAAATAGTTGAATAATATATCGCTATAGTTTACTTAAGCTTAAACAATCACTTTTCATCGGATCGTTATAACATATAAGCATTAGTTGTGAATATTTCTGAGAACATCTTATAAACGAATCTACAATCTATTAGGAATGTTTTTTGCTTTTAATCACTACTACGTCATCCGAACAATTAGTGTTTATCGATCGAGAACTGATTCGTCATTGTGATATTAGTATTTTTTCGAGTTCTTTTTATACCCTACACCACTTTAGTGGGGAGGATATTATGCGTTTGTGCTGATGTTTGTAACACCCAAAAATATTGCTCCTACACCCACCTAAAAAGTATACCAATCGGCTCAGAATCACTTTCTGAGTCGATTTCCTAGCCTAGCGATTTTCGAAGCCTATTAAAAATGGTTAAATTCGGTCCATTATTTCGTATAACCCCCATACAACCATACCCCCGAATAGGGCTTTTGAGCTCATAAATATGTTAAATGTTTCTTTATTACTTCAAAAATCGGCAAAACTTAGTTTTATATACATAAGTCTTAATGATACTGCTGATTTTCGTAATAATCAGGCCTCATTTGATCCAATCCCCCATACAAAGTTCCCTTCAGAAAATGACTTGATGGTCAAAATTCACTTATAAACACTACTATCTACTTCAGACTATTCGGCTAGTCAGGCGTCGATCCATTTCATATTTCCCTCTTATTTCTGTCCTCAAAAATATAGATTTTTTTAATCACTTAGTGAACCTCTGCATTCCTCTTAGCTATAGACTTTTCACACAGCTCCACAGAATCTGGATTTATGATGAAGAGATTTGCTTGTCTATCATTTATTCCAGTAAGACTTCAGAATCCAATGAGATAAATATGTCAAAACCCAATTAATTAAGTCCATACGAAACTGTTTGTAATTGGCATTGGAGCATCAAAAGTCAATATCAATTAATTAGATATGTTGAGTATTCGTAACTGTGAAACGAAGTGTGTTTACACGATTGTCAGATTTTGAAAATTTTGCATTAAATGACGGTCTACCAATATTGTCAGGCACAAATTGTAAGTTTACACGATTGTAAGTCATCATCTGTAATTTTTTTCTAAAAGACTAGACTATCTCCTTAATCCTTCTCGTCCACCCTTCTCTCCCCTACTATCTTTCTTTACGGACAATAGGGCCCATAGGACTCAAGTAAATCTTAACTTGTGCAGTAAGCAGTCTGTGAAACATAACCTGACCTAACCTTCTAATAATATTGTTAGATCTGACCTCCGGTAGTTTGGTGGTAGACCGTGGGTTCGATTCCCACCTGAGGCACTGGTTAAGGAGAGCACAACAGGCCCGATAGAGGCCTAGGTGTATTTCTTCGGATTTGATGTATATACAGCCTCCTTTCAAACTAACTAAGATAGATTTATTCATAGATCCATATATATATATATATATATAGCAATTATAAAGTTCCACGACGACAAATATATTTAATCCCAATAACATATTCTCTCAGATATGTAATCTTCATTGATCATCTTGACTTATACAATTCATTATTCGGTTACAGAGATGTCGCATCGAAATTTGAGGTCGCAATTATATATATCGGACCTAAGACTCGTGTTATAAAGCATAGTTTTTTACAACTAAAACTAGTTACATTAACTAACCTCAAATATTTTTTAAGGTAGACCATACATGACTATTTAAGGTTAAAAAAAGTAAGTATAACAAGATGCATGACCCACTAACGGACATACCCGACTATATGACCCTACACTAAACATAATGATTTTATTCTTCTTCATTTATGACGGATTTAACCTATATAATATTCTTATATAATTATGATTTTTATAGACTTTGTATGTACGTTAAACTCAAACTTTGTATGTACGTTAAACTCAAACTTGGACTGATATATTTTCATAAGATTTGGAGAATGAATTTGTATTAAAATAAAACTGATTTACGCCGAGTTTCATAGAGATACTAATATTTATAAGTCAATTTCATGAACGTTAAAAGCTTATCCGGAATTTGGGCTAGATGAAATAGAAAACCAATTTGAACCGTTAAACAATATTCTTCCACTTTTACTATTACATCGCCCATCGCTTTAAATCTGTTTTAACATACAAGACATTTTCAAATTCTATGCTTAACACTCTCATAATCTCTCTCCACAAATCTCATAGATATTAGTTTCTTCATAAATTAAACTACTCAACAGTCTAAGAAAATAACAACAAGAATATATTATCAACATGAAACGTAAAAATCATATCTATTAGCATTATTACTCTTGACCCGTCTGTAGCACGCACATCAACGCTCAGTTAGCGGGGCCAAAAGCAGAAACATCAAAAGTTTGGTCATTTCATAAAATATTCAAAGTTACCAACAAAATAAAGCGCAAAATAAAAAGCAACTGTTTACGGTAACGCTGAAACAGTTCAAATAGTGTTTCGCATGTCAAAACAAGTGTCAGTTACAAATCCTCACAATAAGATCGAAAGTATTAAGGGGCGCATTGATAAATTAGATTAAAACTTAAGACAAGTGCACAATAAGTGTAAACGAAAACGAAAATAACCAAAAAATATCTAGTGTTTATAGCAAATAATGCTTAAATTATAAAACTACCAAGAGAATAAATTTATAAAAAATGAAATTACTAGTTTTTACATGTGCAGTAACTGCACTTTTACTATGCTCAGCACCAGTGCAAGCTGAGATGAAGGAAGATGCCATGGTGGAACAAACAACTGAATCACCTATTGCTGATATGGCTTTGGTGGGTAAGTAAATAAGGAGTGTTTTAAATTGTGGTTTAAACCCTTTGATTTATAACTATAACAAATTTTAGACACCATGAAGGCTGACACTGTTATGGCTGCTAGTGAAATGAACAGCGAAAAGGAAGCTGTTCAAAAGCTTCCAGCTGAAACCCAACCACAAACCATTGCTGATTTTATAATCCATCCCCTTATTGCTTTGAAGCCACGTTTGCCTGAAACTGAAAGTGGCAAACAAGCTAATACTGCCTCTACCACTCCCTCACCTTGGCAATTGTTCGGTTTCAATGCCGGTCAAGGTCTTGGATCCTCAGTATCCAATTTGGCAGGTTCCGTAACTGGTTGGTTGGGTAATCGTATTCAATTGCCCGGTTTGTTAGAAACACCTGTAACTGAAACCACCACTACAAGCACCACCACAACTACCACTCCCAAACCCGATGTAGTTGTTAGAGTAAAGCAACGCGCTTCAACCAGAAAACCTTTGATTTCCATAAACAACGACGACGATCGTCCATTCCGCAGAAAGGGTCCCAACCGCTTTAATGGCAACAATCTTGATTATTCCGAAGAAGAAGACGATTCTGAAGAAGATGATGATGAAGATTTCAACAGAAATCGCAAAAGATACCACAACGATGACGAAGATGATGAAGAGGACGACTCCAGCCATGAAAACGATCAAGAAGATGATGAAGAGGAAGATGACGGAGAAGACAATGGCAATAACCAAGACGATGAAGAGGAGGAAGAAGAAGAAAGACCTGTTAAAAAACAAAATAAAAATCGTAGAAGACGCCCCAAGCCCTTGAACCACAACAGAAGAAGAAATTCAAACAATAACCAAAGAAGACGCAATACCAATGCCCAACGCAAACGCCAACAAGAACAACAACAGGAAGAAAGTGCTGAAGTAGAGCAATACGAAGATGATGAAGATGATAACAACGATCAAGATTTCTACTACAACAAGAATCAAGGCTCTAAGCGTTCCCAAAGCGAACAAAATTTTATCCAACGCGGGCAACAAAGTTTATTAAATCAAATCAGACAGTTTACCCGCGGACAAACGCCAGCTGAGGTTAGCAACACCTTGCGCAAATCTCCCACTAAAAAACGCCGTCAACAAGCTACCTTAATAATCAATCGTAATGGCCAGACCATTTATGTAGCTCCCGAACTTTTGCAAGCTTCTGATGCCTCTAGCAACAAAGTTAGTGCCACTAAAACTAAACGCCCCACTTCCCAATATCCCCAACCTCCTTTGACTGTACCCTACAGAAGAAAAGGTCAACCCACCCAATACATTACCATACCCTGGGCTCAATTAGGCATCTCTCCTCCCGATCAAATTGTCTCCCTAACTGAAGGTATTCAATCTCAACCCTTGATCTTGAACATACCCCAAAGTGCCATTGATAACATGCAAAGTGTTAGTCCCAACAAAAAGCAAAGCATTACCGCTGAAGCTGTACCTTTGTTAGCCGAAGCTTCCATTATGGACATTTTCAAGCCCCCTCGTATACCACCAGCACGCACTCCCACCACCAAAAAAGTTACATTATCCAATACCCCCGTTGTTATTGCCACAAAACCTAAAGGTGGACCTACACGCATCCGCCCTGCCACTATTGTAGAAAAAGCCCCTGCTGATGATAACATGGATGACAAGAAAACCTCTAGTGAAACCATGGACAATGAACCCGAGACAGCTCAATTTATTGTGATCGGTGATGAATCCGGTGAAACTGAATTAAGTCGTAGTGCATATAGACAAATCTTGGACTACTTCAATCATCACCGTGTAGGTCGTCAAATCAACGTTGAAGAAGTAGATGCTATGGAAACCCCTAAAGATATGGAAGAAATGGATGTCATGGAAGCTCCCAAAACTGAAGAAGTAGCTGCTATGGAAACTCCTAAAGATATGGAAGAAATGGCTGCTATGGAAGCTCCCAAAACTGTAGAAGATATGGCTGCTATGGAAACTCCCATGGAAGAACCCAAAGCTATTGAAGAAGTAGCTGCCAACACTGAAGAACAATTCATACCTGTGCAAGTCATTTCTGCCGAAGAAGAACCTGCTAAAGTAGAAGCTGCTGTTGACGATAAAATGGAAACTGTTACCGAGTCTTCCGTTATGGATGTCCCCAATGAAGTTACTGCCAAAGTAGAAGCTGCTGTTGAGGATAAAGTGGAAACTGTTACCGAATCTTCCGCTATGGATATCCCCAAGGAAGAGACTGTAGAAGAAGCCAAAGTTGAAATGGCTGAAACTATGATGGAATAAAATGTGTATGCCACATTGACGAAACCTATGCAAAGATATTTAAAAAAAGTATTAAAAGAAAATTTTAAATAAAAACCAAGAACATGTGTGTATTCTTTTTGACAGTGATCTTTTATTTGACAATCATCAGATTATCAGATTTAAATAGCAATTCACATAGGGATTCTTAGGAAAATTAGTGGGAATTTATGGAAAGTTATTGGCATGTCGCCATGTCACCCAAAAGTGACAAAAAAAAATGTTTATATTCAAACCTCATTTTTATATTAAAGTTTATTTTGGATGGTAAAGAAACCCGTCTCCTTCTTTTACGAAATTGTCCTGTGATAAATCCTTTTTATATAAAGTGTTTAAAATTAGTCATGTGGCAAAATTTTAAAAATATCAATAAACAGTTTTGTTTATTTTATCAAATACCAGATACATTTTAAAATAGATTAAAAAGACATATTAATTATATTATAAATATCTAATAAAAATAGAATCTATTTAATAGATTCTATTGAATTATTTTAAATTAGTATAAATAAAATCTGCTAGTTGACCCAATTCTTTAATGAATTTAATCTGTTTGAATTCCAAAAGGTAAAACCAGTTTAAATAAATTTTGAAACAATTTAAATTATTTAAAACCGTATGTTCCATTTAAATGCTTATAAAATAAAATGATTAGCATAAAATTTTAACATTTTATTATAGTTAGGTGATAAAAAGCCAAATTAAAATGATCAGAATTGGCAGAAGTTGTGTTATTGTTTATTTCAATTTCGAATACATTCTCCAATTATTTACTTAGTAACAGTTAGGTATTCGAATTTCTTAAATTTGTGAATTTTGGAAAATAGTCCTATATTCTGATTTTTTTACATGCTATTATCATTTATCGATATTAATTTGAACATCTATCTGAATGTCCTTCTGTCCGTCCGTCCCTCTGTCTGTCTGTCTGTCTATATGTTTATTGAACCCCGATATCGTAGAGACCCAAATCTTCAATTCCTTAGTAACAGTTAGGTATTCGAATTTCTTAAATTTGTGAATTTTGGAAAATAGTCCTATATTCTGATTTTTTTTATATGCTATTATCATTTATCGTTATTAATTTGAACATCTATCTGAATGTCCTTCTGTCCGACCGTCCGTCCGTCCGTCCGTCTGTCTGTCTGTCTGTCTGTCTGTCTGTATGTTTATTGAACGCCGATATCGTAGAGACCCAAATTTTCATTTCAACTCCGTCAAACATGCTTTCGAGAAGTTTTCTATTTAAAATCAGCAAAATCGGTTAATAAATAACGGAGATATGAGCAAAAATCCGAGACAACTTCTGAAAATGTTTAGACAAAATAATAAACAAACAAAAACAACACACATCATCATACGGTAAATTTTGTTCTTGTACTTGTTTGTTTATAAAAACAAAGCAGATCAAGGACAACACGTTACGAATGAATGAATTAAGTAAGTATGAAGAGCCCGAAGTAAATAAGAACCTATAAAAGAGAACTTTTTGAACATCTATCTGAATGTCCTTCTGTCTGTTCGACCGTCCGTCCGTCTGTCTGTCTGTATGTTTATTGAAATCAGTTTTCTAGACCCCCGATATCGTAGATTATTAACCAAAATCGGTTAATAAATATTATTAACCAAATCGGTTAATAAATAACGGAGATATGAGCAAAAATCCGAGACAACTTCTGAAAATGCTTAGACAAAAATAATAAATAAAAAACAACAACACACATCATCATACGTTAAATTTTGTTCTTGTAGAGCTAGGACAACACGTTACGAATGAATTAAGTAAGTATGAAGAGCATGGAGTAAATGAGAGCCTATAATAGAGAACTTTTTGGTACATCTTCCTTTTTCTTGGTACTTTTTGTTCTTCTAAAGGTCGAATTTTCTATAATATTGAATATAGAAACATGAAATTAAGCATGTAAAGCCCGGAGTAAGTTAGAACATGGTACTTTTTCCTTCTTCAAAGGAATAATATAATATTGAACCTAGAAACATAAAATTAAACATTAACTCTCATTTCCTCAATGTCTGATTATTTTCAATCCTAACGATAAATTGACAGTTTTCATACAAAAATTATTTTAACCGGCAGTATATCTGCCGATTAAACGCTAACCATAGATTGAGATATTGGCCCTAAGAGTTAATGAAAATCTGTTGGAAAGGATTTTTGGTACTTTTTCGTTCTATGACTGGTACTTTCTGGTTTGTATGCATACACCCAGCACCCTGGTTGAATGAAAATCTATTTTTTGATTTTTTGTCTTATAAGAATTTCATAGCTATACTCGTATTTTTAAGCCAGTAATGAGCTTTTCTGAAGAGGGCCTTATATGGGGGTTAGGGTTAATTATGAACCGATCCTAATAAAATTTGGTAGAGAGATTTTGGCTTGTATGAAACATATTAACGTCAAGTGTCATCGCTGTACACGTACTTTTTTACGGCAGTACTGAGTGTTATAGTGATTTTCTGAAGGGGACCTTATATGGGGTACAATTATGTACCGATCCTTATACAAATTTACAAAGAGATTTAGGTTCCTATAAAATATGTTCATGTCGAATCTTACCGCTACAGATGCTTTTTAAGGAGTTATGAGCTTTAAAGTCATTTATGGCGGGTAGGGTCAATTATGGGCCGATCCTTCTAAAATTTTACATAGAGATTTAGGTTATAATTTCACTACTATAGATGCTTCTTTTAGACAGTTATGAGCGTTAAAGTCATTTTCTGAAGGTGACCTTATATGGCAGGTAGGGTCAATTATGATCCGATCTTTATAAAATTTTACAAAGAGATTAAGGTTCCTATAAAACATGTTTATGCCCAATTTCACCGCTTCTTTTAGCCAGTTATGGGTGTTAAAGTCATAGGCGAAATCGTGGACCAATATTGCCTATTTTCAATACAAAACAACTTGCATCAACTAAAAACTTCTTCAGCTCTCCTGCTGTTCCCGCTTGGACTCTATCGTGGTCAACAGACAGACGGACAGACATGGCTAGATCGTCTTAGAATCTAATAAGGACCCAGAATATACATATATACTTTTATAGATCTTAGACGAATAGTTCGATGTGTTACAAACGGAATGACAAAAACAATATACCCCTCCCCCCATCTTTTTTGATGGTGGGAATAATAACTGGTTTGATTAGTACCAGATTGAAAATATCTTTTGGGTCTAGTAAGGCAGCACCCAAAATCTCAACGGCACCCTAGTGATGGACAGTTAGATAGAATATGTTTTGAGGTTTCCTCCTGTAGCCCACAGAATCTGCACAGACTCATTATATCATTATAAACATGAAATAATGAAGAAATAATAAATTGAATTAATGGTATCTGAGGCCACAATGTTCAGTAAGTTATCCGATTAGTACTTTGGTATCGTCTCTATTGAGCCCTAGCAGCTTTTGCCATATTTCCTTTGACAGCGTTAAAAAACCCTTTGTTTGTCTTTGATTCCAATAGGTGAAAAAAAATCAGTCATTTTTTGGATAATGCCAGACTGATAGTAAATGAGCGATATATGGAAATTAAGGCAAAGTTCAAGACAATTAAAAAAAAAAATATATATACAGTTAGGTACTATACTCATATGGTCGGCCATGTCCGGCTATATTCCTTTACTTTTAAAATTGTGATTTTTTTTATTAAATTGTTTTTTTATAGTTTATAAACAATCGTAAAAATTAGAACAAGTTTTAATTGCAGTTTATTAATGTTAGCAAAATGCCATAAAAAGAAAAAAGTTGTATTTTTTATTTAGATGATCAAAGAATTAATTTAAATAACATTTTGTAGTCTTTTCATTTTAACTGTTGAAAACTTTCCAATCGATTTTATTCGATTAAAATAAGAAACAAAGTTTTGCTAAACTATTATCTATTGATTTACGGTTTATAAAACCAATAGAAAACAAATAAAAACTGACCTATTTTATTATATTGTTTTATACCTTGTATTCTATTATAACAATTCTAAATAAATTAATTACATTTTAATTAGTTGAAAGTTTGCATAGGAGAAGCACAAATTAAGACAATTAGAACAGTTAAAGAATATTTTAATATTCTAAAATTTGAAAATTTTGTCCCTTCAAAAGTCTTTAAGAGTCGTTTACACCTATCAAAAATGACGTGACCCCTAATAAGAATGATATTTTGATATCATTTTGAAGAAATATGATTTATCTTTGAAGACAGTTTTATAATTCAAACAAAATTTAAGTAAATTAAAAAATGCATTTATAAAAATAGTGATTTATTGTCAAATATTTCAACGGAACGTATCACAAAGAGACCAAAAGGTCCCACGTCTGCGTCTTTCGCAGCCTGCAAAACCAACCTTTAGTAAACAAAGAAACGAGGATCTATTTGTCTGCCAACCATATAATATCCTACACCTGTTACAAAAATAATATGTGATTTAGTTTTCATAATAAAGCATTTAAGTTAAATTGTACCTTGTCTCAGATATACTTAAGCCATTTATTGTTGAATAAAATTGTGGATATTTAAGTCAAATTTTGAAGGGGGCTTTATATAGAGGCTATGGTCAAATGAGACCCTATAATTATAAAATTCATGACAGTCATCAAGACTAGTATAGAAGGTTTTGCAGCTTTTTGTCGAGATACGATTATATTAAACATAATTATGAACTTTGAAAGCCCTATTCGTCGCGTTCAGTTGTATGGGGGCTAGGTGAAATCATGGACCAATGTGAACCATTTTCAATAGGCATCGTCTCCGGTACCATAAAAGATTATGTTAAGATTGAATTATCTTCAAAATTGCGACCTGTAGTTTGATTACAAGGTTTACAAGCCCTATTCTGGGGTTCAGTTGTATGGGGGCTATGTGAAATAATGGACCGATCTTAACCATTTTCGTCCCTGGGACAATAGAAGATCATGTACCAAATTTCATTGAATTATCTTTAAAATTGCGACCTGTAGTTTGATTACAAGGTTTACATGGACGGACGGACAGACGGACGGACATAGCTAAATCGACTCAGAAAATTATTCGATTGTCGAAA